CCCCGTACGAACTACTGTTTGACTAGCCTTGCCACTCATTCCGGTAAGTGTTGCTGAAAAGCTTGACTAACGTTCACTTTTTATGCATAGTTTTTGTAGAAAGTAGTATGTATGTACCTTTATAAGTATAATCTTTATTTTTTTTACAGATTTCACAGTCATTGATCATCGCCCCCCCCGTACGAACTACTGTTTGACTAGCCTTGCCACTCATTCCTATTAGCCGGACTGGACGAGCTGATCACTCGGAGTCGCGGGTGGAAAAAAAACAGAAGTAATGAATCATGTCCTATAAAACTGTATCTTTATTAGGAAGGTTTCCGATTCATCCGCCCATAATTAAGTACAATAAGTTAATTATTAATTGCATGAGCAGACCACTAAAATAAACAAATACTTATACAATGATCTGAATTTTAGAATTCAACCCCTTGATGGCAATGTTGATGGTAATCACGCGGGACGCGTGAAAGTCAGGAAGGGCCGTATAAGAACAGCGAGAAGGCATCCCGGTTCGGGCCCCGTTGTTATGCTAAGGCGCGACATCGGGGAACCACGAAAACTATCAACAATTAGCCAGAAAGGGAAAACAAATAGAGAACAGAACGGTTGTGCTAGCGAAGTGGTATGCACGTGAAAAATAATATATAATATATTCAATAAAATTAGTTATAAAGAATTAAAATTAAAGTAGTTGTGAGAAGGTGATAGATTTCTTTCATGTAAAATAAATACCTGTTAAATAAATATAATTACAATTAGAAAATTCATTACATTACAGAGGGAGTTTCTAAAATAAATAGCAATTTAAGAGGAGGTGATAGGCTACTATAAAACAAGAAAGTAAAGTAAATGTTTTGTGGTCCGAAAGTTTACCGTTTTCATGGAACATGTATTTGAATGTACAAGTAAGGGTCAATCCAGCACCGGTAAATCATGCAGGGAAATACAATACAATGCTTCGTTTGTATCTTCGTGGTCATGCATTATTGTTATTTGCTACATTAGAGTACGTGTGATTGACGATGTTGATGTTACAGACAACCTGTAGTAGTTCTTTGTTCTTTTAACATCGTTGTCATGTATGTATTCAGTTGAAGTCATTGGCAGCAGGTCAGGGTATCACTGCCACAGGTCAGTGTAGAATTGTAATTGTTACAATGCTGTTTAGTGAAGTAGAACTTTGTGACGTGATACATTAATTTTCGTTAAATGTGAATACAATGTCAATGCAACGATCGAATTTTGCAGTCATCGATATCACCAACCTCATCGGCAAACCGTCCTAAATTCAGAGATTGCGATAAACCGGCAATGTATACCCCACAGTGAGGGCCGTGGACGTCAACGACCGGATCATATTGTTGCTTAATTTCATACAAGAAAACCCCCAAAGTAGTACACGCAGAATAGCACGGATCCTTGGCTTCTTTCATGTTACGATGTGGCGAATTTTAAAGGAACAGTTACGGCATCTTTGTCATGAAACCTGTAATTTCGAACAATTATTGTAGTGTAGGCATGCGCGTGTTTAGTGATGTTCCGGGAGCAAAAACTTAATGAGCGTTCTTTTTAATATAGTTTCGGTGCATATCACGTATGTAAGTTGTATCGTCGTCGATTTAGTAATTTATCTAACACATGAAATACTTTAGTAGAAACAAATATTAACTGGATGGCACTACACTGCCTGTACTTGGATATTATATAAACTCGCTTATTAGGAGCTTTCGTCAGTAATTTATCGAAACGGCCTATAGGGCACTGAAGAGATCTAATGAGATCGAAATCGCGATCCACGCCTGGTAGTTTCAATAAATTTCTGACCAACAACATAATAAACGTTCTTATTATTATGGTTAGTTTTAATTTAGGGGTCAACTAACATTATGAAGACAGGGTAGGATGAATATCATTTAAATTTGTAGGGATATAAAATATTATTTAATAAAGCTAATACATACACTTTGACATTTCTAAATCATGTAACTTTAGAAATGAAATTTTGTTTGTTAGAACTCTATGAATTCTTTTTTAACGTTAAGGGTGCTTTCATCTTCATCTACTTCAGAGAAGGGATCAACGAAATTTTTGACAGTGCCAAAATAATCTTCCCTGGGCTCTTCTTTAGGTATGATAATTTTAATTAATTCGATAGGTTTCTTTTCATAATCAATAAGTTCATTGACAGTAATAAACGTTCCTTCTCCCTTAGTTTTAACAACAGGTTCAAAAGGTTTTACTGTTAACGAATCATCAGCGATATTATTTGAACGTCCACTAGTCTTCTGAAAACTTTTTGTTACTTCCATATAATCGGCGGAGTAGGTACAACTATAATTATTGTCTTCGTTGCAAGATATACACTTATAACTTTCATCTATTTCGATAGATCTCCTTTTATCTTTTATAGCAGGTTCATCAACTGGTGTAAAAACTTCTTCTTTAATCATCACAATAGGTTTAGTAATTTCTTCTTTTAATGGCTCATCAGTGATAATGCCTTTTGATATCTCCATTGTAGAATTATATTCAGAACAATTGCACCTCCTGTAATTTCCGTTGCAAATTACACATTTAAATTCATGATGTTTTTGTAAGCGTAATTTTAGTTGAAATTTGCAGACTTCACATTCGAACGGCTTCTCTGCTATATCGATTTTCATGGGTTGATTCAAATTGTTCTTATGAGAGACGCATGCTTCGCAGATACCAGATTCGAACGTCTCTTCAGTCGAATCGTTTTTCATGTGAACATTTATGTAATCCTTTCGTGCAATTTTTTTTTTGCAGCATATGCTTTTAAACTGCGTCTCAATCGAATGAGTTTTCATATGATCGTTTAAATGTCCCTTTCTTTTAAAGCTTTTCCTACAGGCTTCGCATTTAAACGGCTTCTCACTCGAATGGGTTTTCATATGAATATTTAAGTAATCCTTTCGTGCAAAAGTTTTTTTACATACTTCGCATTTAAACGGCTTCTCGCCCAAATGGGTTCTCATGTGAAAAATTAAATTGCCCTTTTGTGTGAAACTTCTTTTGCAGGCGCCGCATTTAAATGGCTTCTCGCCTAAATGGGTTTTCATGTGGACATTTAAACCATCTTTTCGCGAGAAGCTTTTTTTGCAGACTTCGCATTTGAACGACTTCTCACCCAAATGAGTTTGCATGTGTTTGTCAACAGTGCTTTTCTGAGAGAAGCATGATCCGCATATACCGCATTTAAACGGTTTCTCACCCGAATGTGTTTGCATATGTTTACTCAAGGTGCTTCTCTGAGAGAAACATGTTTCGCAGATATTGCATTTGAAGGGTTTTTCACCCGAATGGGTTTTCAAGTGATCACGTAAAGTTCCCCTTTGTGCGAAGCTTTTTTTACAAGCTTCGCATTTAAATGGCTTCTCTCCCGAATGAATTTTCATGTGAGCATTTAAGTAATCCTTTCGTGCAAAGCTATTTTTACAGGCTTCGCATTTGAACGGCTTTTCACCTAAATGTGTTTTCATGTGAACATTTAAATTGTCCTTTCGTGTGAAACTTTTTTCGCAGGCTACGCATTGGTGTGGTTTCTCGTCTATATGAGAGTATATATGCTCTTTAAGAATGTCCAATTGTACACTAACTTTACTGGAACCTACGGTCTTCGTATTCTCAACATTTTTCTCATTAGCCATTTCCGATTATTTCAAACACTTTAAGCAAATGAAATCCTTGCAGCTCACTGATCTGACGACGCTGAAACAACGCAGGCGTTTAGAAAGAGTGCATGGGCAATATAACGAACTTATTTGATATGCTCGAGTCATTTGTCATAGCATAGCGACCGACATCATGAAATTAATAAATAGACAAAAAAATTGGTAGGGCATCTTACTATGTACTCATAACATACCTTCAAGTGATGCACAACATCAAATTAAGAATAAAAGAGAAAGTTATAGTATCGACCAGCACTATAACCTAGAGAGCCATGGTCATAGGTGAAATTATTTAAATATTAAATTACAAATAACTATACATGAGACACTAGCATATCCGGCAGAGTTCGTTAAATTACATGTAGTATTTAAATTATATTTGAAATGCTAAATTCATTAATTAAACTTTAAAAAATTAATGAGAAACACCCTCAGGCCAGAGGAGTAAGTTAGTTCCTATATAGTACATGTGTTGTCAGCTTTCATTTTACCTCTAGCTGATAGAAGTGTTTTAAGTAGGTATTAATATTTATCAAGACTTTCAACTATATGCATTTGCTATTCTAAAATGTATGGTGGTTGCGTTTGATGTTTTCCTGTCAAAATACTCATTGTCTAAATGTCATTTTTATATCTGTACTAAATCTTTCCGAATTTTTAAATAAACAGTTTAAGTGAAGTCTAGAAACGCGGAATAGTTTGATGCCATTGTTCTACTATTCCTATTGAAGCGAGCACGAGCGTGTTTGTGTGCGATCGGGCACTCGTGTGTATGAACGGCTTATTGATTCGCCGATTAGCCGCGGGCGCCTTTCTTCATGTGCGCCGTATTTGTAAATGTGTGTGTCGTACCTGCGTTCTGGGAAAGCAGTTAAACAGTTCAAAGAAAAAGAAACTTTTCCAGACGTTTCAAGAAGATTCCCGAAATGAAACAAAAGAGTATTTGAAGGAAGAGACGATCGCTGAGAGGGAGTAGAAATAAATTGACTGTTGCATAAGTGAATCCAGAACTAAATTGACAGTGATAGTAGTGAAGCAAATAGCGCAGTGAATAGTGTTTTAAGTTAGTTTAAGTAAGTTAAGTTCTTTAATAATTAGTGTAAATAAATAGTTTTTGTCGTTATTAGTCTTAAGTTAATTTTGTTAAACCCACCAACATAACAACTGGTGTCAGGTGTGGGGTTGAGTAAAAGACATTACAATGGCAAAGAAGTTGTACGAATTAAAAGTCGCCGAGTTAAGAAGAGAATTAGAAGAACGGGATGAAGCGACAAGCGGTAAGAAAGCGGAAACGTTCCTTTTCGAAGACGAATTGTCACAAACGATGAAAAGTTTAGAAAAATTCGAACAATAGTAAAAGTTTAGAAAATAAATTGGAAGAAAATAGTAAAAGTTTGGATAATAATTTGGAAGAAAACAGTAAAAGTTTGGAAAATAAATTGGAAGAAAACAGCAAAAGTTTGGAAAATAAATTGGAAGAAAATGGTAAAAGTTTGAAACGTGAAACATGAAACCAACGGAATCGCTACAAGAATTCGAGGCCGATATTGCGAGACTGTCTCGACTGGCCAATCCTTATATTCCAGAAGAATTGATGGAAAGGTTGGCTATTACTGATGGACTTACGGGACAGTGACATTCAACAACGAATACGCCTTGACCGACCTACGACGCCCGACGCCAGCTGATGCATTGGCTCGTGCATTGGGGAACGAAACTGTTAAACGGATCTATAGAAAAGCAATGGGGGAATGGGAGCCGTTCTTTCGCAGTTACAAGATGGCCAAGAGAAGGTAATCGGCTATTTTAGCAAGACCTTATCAAAAGCCGAATTAAACTACTGCGTCACTAGACGAGAGATGGTGGCTGTAGTCAAAGGTGTAGAACATTTTTATAAGTACCTATATGGACGAAAATTCACCCTGCGCACCGATCATGCAGCTTTAAAGTGGCTTCTGAATTTCAAGAATCTGGAGGGTCAGGTAGCTTGATGAATTGAGAAGCTACAGGAATATGTTTTGACGTAGAGCACCGGCCTGGAATCGGACACAAGAATGCCGATGCACTTTCCAGAAAATCTTGTCAAACAGACTGCAAGCAGTGTGATCGAATGGAACAGAATGAAGGGGCAATTCGACGCATCACGGTAATCGATGAGGAAAGGTTACCTGACTATATAAAAAACGACGAAGAAAGCGACCCGGACTTGAAGAAAGTGATAGAATGGAAAAGAAACGGAAAACGACCAACGTGGCAGCAAATTTCTTCCTGTACCCAAGTAGTAAAATCGTTATGGGCTCAGTGGGGCTCAATGGTTTTGGAGGATGGCATCCTGAAGCGTGTTGTTGAAAGTTCAGATGGAGAGGAAGATAGGAAGCAACTGGTTATTCCTCGAAAGAAGGTTAGAGAGGTGTGGTGACCATTTTGGAGTAGATAAGACGCTTGGGAAAGTTTGAGGGCGATTTTATTGGGTGAACTGTAAGGAAGATGTCAAGAATTGGTGTGAGAACTGTACCACCCGCGAGTAATGGACCACAGAAAAGGCCAAGGGCGCCAATGCATCAATACAATGTCGGTGGCCCCTTGAGATAGTGAAGAGGATTAACGACGTGATCTGCCGAATTAAGAAAACTCCAAATGGGAAGCCGAAGGTAGTCCATTTTAATCGCTTGGCCCCATTCCCCGGTGCAAATGAAGAGGAGGCGCGGGCCAGATTATTAAGAACTATTCCTTCCGAGCCCACATTCGAAGAGTTCATGAAGGAAGGCCTCCATGTTAACATAAGATTTGGAGTGACGCGAGAAATCCGACGAGACCTCTTTGCTATATCTAAGGAATATTCTCTGACCCATTGCGTCTCAAACGATCTCAGAATGAACCGTGGTATCGCGACCGAGTTCAAACGCAGATTTGGTGGTTTGGAACATCCTGAAGACCAAGTACAGAAGGGAATAAGACTGTTGTGCCTGCCTGACGGACAACGCAATATCTATTACCTAGTAACTAAAGGAAGATAGTCTGATAACCCAACTTATAGAGACCTTTGGGACGCAGTAATGGAACTCTGCGGCCGTCTTTTGGAGAATAACCTATAAAAGCTGGCGATTCCGAAGCTTGGTTGTGGACTGGGCAACCTAGATTGGAGGATCGTACGGAACATGATCAATGTCCTGTTCCGTCGTACTGGAATAGACATTTTGGTTTGCAGTAATAACCCGAATCGGACCAATCATGAGAAGACCGTGGACTGTTACTTCTATTCCCGGAGTGGATGTCGTGAAGACGAGAACTGCAGATTCCGCCATGATCTTGCGAAACGATAAGTGAAAATGTTTCGGGACGAAACATCCTTAAGGGGGCAGTGTAGCGAGCACGAGTGTATTTGTGTGCGATGGGGCACAATATGAATTTAACTTTGCCAATAACCGATCGATTCATATTACAAATTAAAATAATTAAATTCACAGACAAAATTAAATTCTACATACAGAAATAAATATAAAAAAGTTTGTTTCAACCTATAACGTGAAGTGCTATATTTTATTTATATTCATAATTTTTTAACAGTATTCATAATGAACCTTCTTTTTTTATTATATTTTTATCCTAAATAATAAGTCACTAGGGATGGAGTAATGTAGTGTTGTTGTTTGCGATGTTTCTCTGTGGATGATTGTAAGTCTATGAATATATACCTTATCTATGAATACATTCATTTGTATGTGTAGTTTGTACGTTTAAAATGGTTGACAGCTCTGTAGTATATCATTAGTGTAAAATAAATAATATGTGATGTTTTTAATCTGCTGCTTAAATATTCTATGTTCAATAATCACACAAACATCCATAGAAGCAAACGCTTCTCGGAACTCGTATCAGTAAGAACTGTTACTATAACCAGTTAAAAAATAACAGCAGCTTGCTATCTAACAACCCATAACTACTGTCTAATTCCGTGCTTATTGCCGCGCTTTTGAACTGAATGTAAATAGGGTGTATAATTAATGAAGAAGAAAACATACCTAATGAGTATTTTTGCTGTGCTATGATGCAATTAGAACACAGTACACCTTAAGTTCTTCGACAAAATTATGTACAAAAGTCCACTTCATATCATGACTAAAAGACGTAGACGTAGACGTATCCACATAGATTACGTATCCAGTTATCCCCGAAGGGGCGGCAACAAATATAATATCGAATGATAAGACTGATAGAAGGGTAGCCAGACGACTTACATACATACTGACAAGTTGACTAGCTGATAACAAACTATCCACCATTGAGTTAACGATCCGCTGGAGTCTAAAAGGACCAGAGGAACAGTCAAAACGAACATTACCGAATATTGTCAAAGAGAATTTCTGTTTATCTTGCAATACTATTAACGCACTCACTTAATGCCTTGTAATTCTGCTATTGTTTTTAGTGTTTCAAATAAAACAAATGTCATTTTTTAAAGATAAACAAAAATTAGATGTGTAAGCATACATCCCTCTACATGTTTATGAAGTATTTGCTTTTAAAAATCCAATGAACGATATATTTCAAATATAAGGTAAAAACATACGTATACAAGCAGTTATACTTAGAATTATGCGAATTATTCTGTAAGCAGTGACGTATCTTAAAATTTAGCTTTCTGGTTCTGTTACGTTCGGCAAGCAAAAACATTATTTATTTTATTGATTTATGGTTTATTGTTATGTAACATTAATTCGACTCTCACGTTTGTTATTTTCCATTCTATGGCACAGTGCTATAAATTTTGGTGACCGACGTGATCGGAATGTACGGATCAGCGGTTTCAACTCTCCTGTCAAAATAGTTGTGACTAAACCTGGCAGATGGCGGAGCTTGCAGCGTTTAAAGATTTTGTAAAATGGGTTGCATAAGAAAAACAGCATTACGATCATAAAAAAGATTATCATAATTTTTATTTGCATTGCNATTCCGCCATGATCTTGCGAAACGATAAGTGAAAATGTTTCGGGACGAAACATCCTTAAGGGGGCAGTGTAGCGAGCACGAGTGTATTTGTGTGCGATGGGGCACAATATGAATTTAACTTTGCCAATAACCGATCGATTCATATTACAAATTAAAATAATTAAATTCACAGACAAAATTAAATTCTACATACAGAAATAAATATAAAAAAGTTTGTTTCAACCTATAACGTGAAGTGCTATATTTTATTTATATTCATAATTTTTTAACAGTATTCATAATGAACCTTCTTTTTTTATTATATTTTTATCCTAAATAATAAGTCACTAGGGATGGAGTAATGTAGTGTTGTTGTTTGCGATGTTTCTCTGTGGATGATTGTAAGTCTATGAATATATACCTTATCTATGAATACATTCATTTGTATGTGTAGTTTGTACGTTTAAAATGGTTGACAGCTCTGTAGTATATCATTAGTGTAAAATAAATAATATGTGATGTTTTTAATCTGCTGCTTAAATATTCTATGTTCAATAATCACACAAACATCCATAGAAGCAAACGCTTCTCGGAACTCGTATCAGTAAGAACTGTTACTATAACCAGTTAAAAAATAACAGCAGCTTGCTATCTAACAACCCATAACTACTGTCTAATTCCGTGCTTATTGCCGCGCTTTTGAACTGAATGTAAATAGGGTGTATAATTAATGAAGAAGAAAACATACCTAATGAGTATTTTTGCTGTGCTATGATGCAATTAGAACACAGTACACCTTAAGTTCTTCGACAAAATTATGTACAAAAGTCCACTTCATATCATGACTAAAAGACGTAGACGTAGACGTATCCACATAGATTACGTATCCAGTTATCCCCGAAGGGGCGGCAACAAATATAATATCGAATGATAAGACTGATAGAAGGGTAGCCAGACGACTTACATACATACTGACAAGTTGACTAGCTGATAACAAACTATCCACCATTGAGTTAACGATCCGCTGGAGTCTAAAAGGACCAGAGGAACAGTCAACAAACGACAGTCAACGAACATTACCGAATATTGTCAAAGAGAATTTCTGTTTATCTTGCAATACTATTAACGCACTCACTTAATGCCTTGTAATTCTGCTATTGTTTTTAGTGTTTCAAATAAAACAAATGTCATTTTTTAAAGATAAACAAAAATTAGATGTGTAAGCATACATCCCTCTACATGTTTATGAAGTATTTGCTTTTAAAAATCCAATGAACGATATATTTCAAATATAAGGTAAAAACATACGTATACAAGCAGTTATACTTAGAATTATGCGAATTATTCTGTAAGCAGTGACGTATCTTAAAATTTAGCTTTCTGGTTCTGTTACGTTCGGCAAGCAAAAACATTATTTATTTTATTGATTTATGGTTTATTGTTATGTAACATTAATTCGACTCTCACGTTTGTTATTTTCCATTCTATGGCACAGTGCTATAAATTTTGGTGACCGACGTGATCGGAATGTACGGATCAGCGGTTTCAACTCTCCTGTCAAAATAGTTGTGACTAAACCTGGCNTTCCCCTTTGACTTAGATCCATCCCCTTCTGCATGACGCTTCTGCAAAAATTTCGTATGTACCATGTAAACATTTTTATAATTAATTTTTCCTTATTTTTAGGTGTACCATTGTTACCAGAACCTATTATGAGGGAGAGGGGTTTTAGTTGGTAGGTCCTCCTGTTAGGGAATCCAACACTACCCAGTCGTACGGTCGGCTGGGTGTCTTTCGAAAATTTCCCCTCTCCCACGAAAACAAAAAAAAAAAGAAACGATGCAGTGACTTTTGCTGGTGTTCTTAGATGGACAGAATAACCATATTCTACTACCCACTAATTTGGAATTGTTTACAACCCCTTTTCTTCAATATTCAGTGTTCTGCATCAATTTCTGTCTGAACACGTAAGTTGCCACAACTTAACGATTTTTTACCTTCATTAATAATTATCTTAGTAATATTTAATTAAAATTGTGTTGAAAATGTTTATAGTACATTATTGAAAGGTTTTAGTTATCTACTGAAAGTTGTTAAAAATTTAATGTTACTATTAAGTTAAACTGTATTACTGTTTCTTCTATTTTGTGGCCTTTTCTATTTGGCCGATTGTCTGTTGAAGTTACATAATAATTTATTTTGTACAAGTTTATTTGTTACATTCAATAAATTTCTTTTACTATTCTTTCACTTATTATCACTTTTACACTTATAAATTCGCAAGTTTTTATGTTAAGGTGAAAAATGGACAAGTAACAATGTATTTCCTTTTTTACAAAGAAACAATGTGTTTTCTTTTATAAAAAAGGAAATTACATTGTTTCTTATCCATTTTTCACTTTAACTTGCACATTACGAAAAACAGTAAATAACTAGCACATTTAAAGTGCGCGCCTTTTTTATTTAGTTGTGACTAAACCTGCCGGAGGGCGCGCAAATCGGCGCGTTTCGAGTTGACCATCTATTACCCTTTGTGTATCTATTATCTATGGTACGGATCATCGACGTTTACAAATGGACATGCCTTAGCGGTCAGAATTGTGATACAACAAAAGAAAAAGATGGAACGAAGTTTCGGACAATATCCATCTCTCTCACGATAGTGCGTAAGCGTGTCATGAAAGAGATAGCACTAGTCCGAAACCATACGACATACGGCTAAAACACGTCCATTAATATATGTCTATGGTACGGATACACGACGCAAGCACATGTTGCCGACATCAACTTGCTGCGGTGTGCTATGGCGAAACTGCATAGTTATTTACAACAAAAACAATGTGCTTCGTAAATGTGTAGTTTATAGCTTACGCGCCTCACACGCTGAATTCAACAACAGACCCCAACAATACACCGATGATAAACGGCGATTCAACGACGCCGCAAATAGTGGTGAGGCCATAGCAGACGTAAAATTGCCGAATCCTAGACGTCATGCAACCAACGCAAATTTTTGCTGTTTAAGTAGAGACTTCGATTCGGCGAGCCTATATCTACCACCCGCTCCTGAGTACAGAGAGGACGTCGGAAAAGATCCATGAACTGTCAATGGTGATGGCGACGCTGACGTATAAGTTTAAGAGCTTTACGTCAGAAGAAAAAACCGCTTTAGAGACCACACCAAGAGCAGTAACTAGCGAGGTCAATCACTCTCCCAGAAGCATAAGCACAGGTATGTGTTACTACCACCGTAAGTTCGGAAACGACGCTCGCCATTTCCGCACGCCATGTACATACCTGCAAGGCCGGAAACTAGAGAGCCGCTGGTACGCATCGAGGCAGCAACCAGTGGGATAACCACATCAAAACGCCCAAGAAGACGGGTATACATTTCCTGATCGATTCAGGTGCGGACGTATCCGTGCTTCTCAAGCAATATGCCGAGAAGATGACCGCCAACGACAAAGCCTTATTCGTTGCCAACCAGACGAAGATCGGAATCTACGGAGAGAAGAGCTTGACCATGGACCTCAACTTGAGGCGATCATTAACTTGGAAATTTAACGTCGCTGACGTAGCACATCAAATACTGGGTAGAGACTTTTTGCACAATTTGAAAATGCTCCAAGATGTACGGCAGAAGCAACTGATAGACGCAACGACCAAGCTCTCATCGGTAGGATTAATCTAAACAATCAGGACACCCTTGGTGACTACACTCAGCAATGACAGTCTCAATACCACAAAAATCCATAAAAATTATTGTACTTACAAAAGACCAACGACTGTCGACAAACAGGAAAAGAAAACAGTTCGGTTATTCTCAGAACAGTATGACGAAGTATATTTATGTATTAACGATGCCGTTTCATTTTGCAGTAGACAAAACTGTAGAATCGATAAGTTCAAAATATTGGTTTTCATCTATGCGCAAATATGTAAAAAATTATATTAATTCCTGCTTAGGATGTTTACATAATAAAGTGCTTTTAGGTAAGGCACCTGGTAGTCTATATCCCCTTGGAAAAAACGCCTGTAAAAGTGTTATGAAATCTTGTATCTTATACTAATGGTTCATGGCTTTACGGAATTTGTATATTTAAAGGCATATGAAAACTGGCCCAACACTAAAATTTCTAGATGAAGTAATAGATAGGTATGCTGCGACCGTGGCACGACTTTTACGAGCAAAGGTTTTAAGAATACTGTTTGACATTAGGCAGAGAAAGGTCTAGTCCAGGGGTCGGTAACCTATGACCCGTGGGTCACCGAGTGACCCAATAGGTTATTTCAAGTAATTATAAATTTTCAGTATTTTGAATATCTAAGAATTGACAATTTTAATTTAGAAATGATTGATTTTAAAAGTTCAACATTATGGAGGGATACATTCAAGAAATTGTGGAACGATTTGGAAAATACAGAATTATTTTCTCATGATATCAACATGTTGGGCGCCACTTCCTACTAGGTTTTCATCATTAAAAAAAAATTGGCTTTGCCATTTTGTCCACATTTGGGTCCACTTATAAATGTGAGCAAATATTTTCATAAATGAAATTTATTTTAAGCAAAAACAGGAGCAGGTTAACTATTGAAAATTCAGATGCTTGTGTTCGACTTAAGACGACTAACTATAAACCAGACTTGACTAAATTGACGTCACAAGTTCAACATCAGGGGAGCCATTGATATCGTAGAGAAAGTTTATAAATAAAGTTTATTCAACTATGTTTGTAATTATTTTCTTAATAAAATATATCTTATTATTTACTAAAATGCTGTTTTAATATGACGATATCTCTGACCCAAACGTCTCTTTAATACTCGCATTTTGGTTGATTTTGACCCGGGGCCAAAAAAGGTTGCCGACCCCTGGTCTAGTCTAACACATGAAATACATAAGTAGCAGCAAATACCAACTAGATGTAGATGTACACTTCCTGTTCTTGGATACTATATAAACTCGCTCATTAGGACCTTCATCGGTTTAGCCAGTGATTTATGGAAATAAATAAACGTTCTAATAAAAGTAGGAGGTAAATGTAATCAAGTCCTATTCTATCTAAATTTAGTACCTACAAAATTTTACATATAGAAAAAAGAAACATTTACAAAATATCTTGTGATTCTTGCGATGCTTTTTAGAATGGAAAAAGTGGTAGAGCTATTAATATCAAAATTAAAGTGTTTAAAATACATCGACAAAAAGACACAAAAACAGAGTATTGTATTCTCCCAATTAGATTTAAAAAATATTGTTCCTTGACGTTAACGAAAACACAAGGTTGTTTCTCCTAGAAACTTCAGAAATTAAGAGCCCCCATTCGCAATATGAAATTACTCAACAGCCAAATGTTTGATTATAGTTGCGTGGTGGAAACAGGATACTTATTAAAAATCCATTCTAGTTTTAATTTTCCATATTTACGTTTAAATATGTTTTACAACTACCTTCCATAGTATATTTATGTACAGATCCTTTGTACAGACTTTTAAACAGGTTAATGCTAAAGAAACATTTCCTAGATAACGTCAATAAATTGATTTAAATCGTTTTAAATTTATTGGTGACATTTCGTCATCCTTATATACAGGGGACGGCGTAAGGCGGTGGGGGCGGTTCGCTCCGGGTATCAAGCACTGAGGGGCGGCAATAGTAGAAAGAGCTATTTCCTACGCAACTGAAAAATGTGGACATTTCGATCGAAAGAAGAGGAAGGAAGCAATTCTGAAAACGTTTGCCAGGAGAACTAGCCGAAGACGCTGTACTAACATTGAAAGAAGTGCTGTACAGAGCTATGTTTGAATGTCTTGATAGATTTTAAAAAGATCTTCGTGAAATAGTTCCAAACCTGACAAAAATCTATGACGAATTTTCAGCAGACGACATTCTTATGGAGACTTTACGACTTAAGCACCACTTGGAAGCCGCCAGCATTTCTAGTCCAATGGACTACCTTGAAGTTTCCGAAATACATGCAAAATGGGATTATTCTGAGTCTGTTCCGATTCTAGTGCTGTGTTTAAGATTTTAACTATTTGTGTTTCGATGTCTTCTTGTGAATAAATTTTCTCAAAATTAAAGTTGATAAAATCTTACTTAAAATCCACAATGAGTCAAACGCGACTTACCAATCTTTCCATATAATCTATTGAAAAGGACAGAAAGGTAAATTTTAAACATTAATCGGTGAATGAGCATCATCTAGATAATTGTAATTTTATTAAGGCAAATTGTCACACCACCACACCATAAAGGTACTGCCAAGGCGCGTTACCTTTTTACGGGTGATCGTAAGAAAACTCATAGGTATGAGAGGAACCAATGTTCCCTGATATTTCCCGCGTACTACTTTGGGGGATGTTTTCTACGAACTCCAGGATTTCATCTTCTACAGCGGCGATATGGTTCGAACGTTGATGCGCACGACTCTCAAATATAGGTTGTACTTTGCGGATTTCTTGCAATCTCTGTACCGCATTTGAAATAGTTAGCAGGTGTTGAAGTCTTCGCTGAGGATGTCGATAGCTGTACAACTCAATTGTTGCATTAATGTTTCATTTACATTCAGGATCATGCCACAAAGTTATTATACGTATAAACTAGTACCTTTCAATGAATGGTAATATTTACTTCATGTAATCACATAACAAAACGTAGGGATACTAAAACTGTCATAATCATTTTTAGTGAAGAATTACTTTGTTATTATCAAAAAATACATTTGTACAATAAATTATTAAGCTTTAACACTTTTCACTAGGACAAACAGTTCATTTGATCAACTATTCCTGGTTATTACTGACCATCTGACAAATAGATTAAAGCATGTGTTTTAAACTTATAAATTTAGTTCCTATATTTTCTCTATTTAAAATTAATGTGTAAAATAAAAATCAATACAATTTATTTTTTCACAAATAAAATTATTTTTATATTTCAAATAAAAAAGTAAAAAATGTTTGAAAAACTTACCGTCTTATTACAAATAATGCAAAAAAGGTGTTCACTATTAATAATTTTAATTAAAAAATTAATTTCTGCGTGCAATCTACTTTTTGAGCTATTTTAACTTTTCAAATATAACGTTTGGTAGTGATTAATACACTTCAATACAATAAGAACAAATGATCAAAAATATTATGTCACAATCTTTAAATAAATCAAATTATATCTGAAAATATATCGAGGGCAGGACCGTAATATTTGTTTATAACCGAATAACAAGTTTGTATCACGTAAGAAACGGGAATGCCCAGAAAATTCCGAAATTACCTCTACAGAAAGAAATTCGCAGTTGTATGGAATGCTGTTCGGCTAACGTGAACCAAGCGAAACTTATCACCCCGTATTGGCGGTTGGTGGCTGAAACTACGTAAATATTGTAGCGAGTACGAGTGTGTTTATGTGCGATCGGGCACACGTGTGCGTGAACGGCTTATCGATTCGCTGACTAGCCGCGGGCGCCTTTTTTCATGTGCGCCGTATTTGTAAATGTGTGTGTCGTAGTGCGTTCTGGGAAAGCAGTTAAATAGTTCAAAGAAAAAATAATCCGGATGTTTCCAGAAATTAAACAAAAGAGTATTTAAAGGAAGAGACGATCGCCGAGAGTAGTAGAAATAAATTGGCCGTTGCAGAAGTGAATCTAGAAATACAGTGATAGCAGTGAAATAAATAGCCTAGTGAATAGTGCTATATCAACAGTAGTGTAAATAAATAGAATAATTCATAACCTAAGTTTAGTAATAATTTAATTAAGTTCTTTAATAATAATTAATGTAAATAAATAGTTTTTGTCGTTATCAGTCTTAGAAGTTAATTTTGTTAAACCCACGAACATTACAGTATTAATAATAATATGTATTCCGGAATATCAAGCGAAGATAATGTATTCGCACGCAGAATATGATAACATGGTAGTCACGTACAGACGTTTGCTTGGCACCGTACCGAGTGGGGTGAACGCCAACAAAGATGACAGATAGATACTGACAAAATTGATTTGCAATCAATTGAAGACAATCGCAATCTGAGTATACGGGTAATTGCACGGCAAACAGATATTCAGCGTGATAGGGTGCGGCAGTGTCCTTCTATGTCCGTGTTCGCATACGAAACTCAACCATTATAATTTTAGTCATCATCTCATCACTGTCAGAGTAGTTAGGGCTTTCGGTGAGGTCATTACCCCCATATTTTTGTATATCACTAACTGCGTGGTGCGATATGACTAATTCTATTTTTTTTATGTACCTTCTGCCTTAATTTTGCTGGAGTACTGATCAGACATAGTCAGCTTGCACAGAAAATTAGACAATTTCAAAAAACTTAACAACTATTTTGATGAATGTGAATTTAACAGACATCAATTTCTTTTTGTAACAAATGAATCTAACCTAACTAATATTATAAATGTGAGTTTTTTGTTACCTTTTCACGCCTTAACTACTCAATTGATCATTGTGAAATTTTGTAGACACATTGTGAGGGGTATAGAAAAGGATATAGGGTACCTTTTATCCATCAGAAGAAAAAATACTATTCCCGAGGGATAGAAAAATTAGTCTTATGTGGTTGTCAATGACCTTTGACGTATTTAGAACATCAACGCGAGCGAAGCCGCGGGTGAAACCTAGTATCTAGTGTATAAATAGCTTTTTAATGTAAAACGCATTTACTAAAGTTAGATTGCCCATGAGAATATTATTTATTTATTTGTTATTTCTTGTTAATCATTAGAACGGCAGTTACATTTTTGGATTTCTTGTTTATTTTTTTCGTGCAATTTATTATTTCGTTCGTTAAACAATATAATTTTCATCTACTTAAGAATATTACCGTTTTTTGTTGATTTCATTACAAAATTGGTCTCNTTCTATTTCACCAACCAACCTTTTAATTCGGACAATGTTAAAAAACATTCTGTGTAGAACCATATAATTATATGAAAGATACAATTAAGGTTTGTATGCTTGGTAAGTAATACAAGTTTATTTGCAAAAAAATAACCAACATATATTACGATTTCTAAATCATACAGCTGTATAAATAGCATTTCAATTGTCAGAATCATGATTCTTTTTTAACGTGAAAAGCCTTAGTGTCATCATCAACTTCAGCAGAGTTTTCACAGATTTCAAAGTACTCTTCCCTAGGTTCTTCTTTAAACACAGTAATTTCACTTAACTCTATAGATTTCTCCTTAAATATCACAACAGAATCATTAGCTGGAGCGAAAATTTCTTCTTTAACCTTCACAACGGATTCTTCAGTTGACGTCTCATCGCAATTAGTTGAAAATTCACTGGTTGTTTGATAATTAAGAATACTTTTAGTCACATCCACATAATCGTCGGAGCTACTACAACTCTTAATACTCTTATCGTTGCAAGATAAACACTTATCATCATCATCCAAATGGGTTTTCATGTGATCATTTAAATATTGTTGTTGTGCGAAGCTACTTCTGCAGACAACGCATTGGAACGTCTTCTCGGTCAAATGAATATGCATGTGTTGGTTCAAGTGATGCACACGAATAAAACTTTTTCTGCAGATACTGCATGTGAACGGCTTCTCGTCTAAATGGGTTTTCATGTGATACTTTAAATTCTCCCTTCGTGCGAAGCTGTTATTGCAGACTTCGCATTTGAACGGCTTCTCAATCAAATGGGTTTTCCTATGACTGTCTAAATAATCCTTTAGTGCAAAGCACTTTTTGCAGATTTCGCATTTAAACGGCTTCTCAGCCAAATGAGTTTTCATGTGTTTATTCAGCTTGCAGTTATGAACAAAGCTACTTGTGCAGATGCTGCATTTGAATGGCTTCTCGTCCAAATGAGTTTTCATATGATCACTGAAATAATCTTTCCGTTTAAAGCTTTTTTTGCAGGTTTCGCATTTGAACGGCTTCTCGTCTAAATGAATTTTATTGTGAACATTTAAATATTGTTTTCGTGAGAAACTTTTTTTGCAGACGTCGCATTTGAACGGCTTCTCGGCCAAATGAGTTTGCATATGTTGATTCAACTTGTACTTAATAATGAAACCTTTATTGCAGATACTGCACTTGAACGGCTTCTCGTCCAAATGGGTTTTAATGTGATAATTTAGATACTCCATTCGTGTGAAGCTTTTTTCGCAGACATCACATTTGAACGTCTTCTCGGTCAAATGAATATGCATATGTTGATTCAAGTGGTGCACACGAATGAAACTTTTATTGCAGATACTACATTTGAACGGCTTCTCATCTAAATGGGTTTTCATGTGATAATTTAAATACTCCCTTCGTACGAAACTGTTTTCGCAGACTTCACATTTGAAAAGCTTCTCGTCCAAATGGGTTTTCATGTGACTATCTAAATAATCCTTTAGTGTGAAACCTACTTTGCAGATTTCACATTTGAACGGCTTCTCGGTCAAATGAGTTTTCATGTGTTTAATCAGCTTGCAATTATGAACAAAACTACTTGTGCATATGCTACATTTGAATGGCTTCTCACCCAAGTGGGTTTTCATGTGATCACTAAAATGATCTTTTCGTCTGAAGCTTCTTTTACAGACTTCGCATTTGAACGGCTTCTCGTCCAAATGAATTTTGATGTGAACATTTAGATATTGTTGTCGCGAGAAGCTTTTCTTGCAGACGTCGCATTTGAACGGCTTCTTATCCAAATGAATCTGCATGTGTTGATTCAAGTGGTGCATAAGAATGAAACTTTTCTTGCAGATAGTGCATTTGAACGGCTTTTCATCCAAATGAGTTTTCATGTGATAATTTAAATACTCTCTACGTGCGAAGCTCTTTTTGCAGATTTCGCATTCGAACGGCTTCTCGTCCAAATGAATTTTAATGTGAGCATTTAAATATTGTTTTCGTGCAAAGCTTTTTTTACAAGTTTCGCATACGAACGGCTTCTCGCGTAAAAGGGTTTGCATATGTTGATTCAAAGGGCACTTATGAACGAACCAGTTCTCTGACCTGACGACGCTGAAACATAACACAGGCTTCTAGAGGAAATATACGTAACGTAGCGAATGAAAAATGTATAGAATTGACTAGAATTAGAACTCACTCGTGCCGTAGGTGAGAATTCTACCACTGAACAATTTGTTTTCTTGAGAAATTATATTCAACTAATTTTAAATAATCAATTACAAACGTATAAGACACTGATAAAGTTCATTAGGTTCGGTGAAAATGTTACCTCTATCGAAAACAGAAGGATATTTTTACAAAATTTCAAAAAAATCTAAATGAATTATTTCAAGCAAACTGGATGCCAATTTTTCTTTCTAATTTGTGAAAATACGGTATGCTATCGACTAATTGTTAAACATAGAGTAAGACATTAACCATTGTTATACTAGGTTTTTCCGAAATAAGTAGCAAGTATCACAGGATATTAACTAGATACAATAGGTACTCACATGGTGAGTAAAGCAGCGTAATTAAGGGACAAAAGGATAATCTTAAGAAAGCCAGAAGGTACAATTCGAAGCCGGTCCTGAGGAAAACAGGTATTAGCACAGTCCTGGGAAGCACAGCCATTTATACAGTGACTTGCGATAACAACTAAACAACCACATTGATGAAGAATAGCTTCATACCATGATACTACAAATAAGAATGTTTAGACGCCCTTTACGATACAAATTAATTTTGCTTGCTATTAATAAAAAAACAACCCGCACACACACACACACATTACAGTAAATATAATTAACAAAAAATTCTTTTAAAGTGTCTATTAATAGTGATTATATTGATGATTCTGTGACATACGAAGTTGAGGCGAGAGGCAAGATGATCGTTGTTATACTTCGTTTAGTTTCTCTAGCTATGTGACCTTTAGTTTGACCGGCGCAAAGTAGAAAAGAACAGCACTAGGCCAGAAAAGGAAGGAGACAACTCTCGGCCAAACTCTTAACCGATGAGGAGAGTATAATCCGTACAGTATTGCACGGAAAACTTGACCATTTTATTCACTACAATTGAATTGCTCAAATGTGCTGTTATTGGTACCATTTACTACTGAAAATATCAACGAGATGTTTATTGAAGATATATTAAAGGCTTTAACACTTGTTTTCGACTCGCACTACTATTCATGATTGAACAAAACCTTTGGCACGTACTGTATGAAAAAGTATGTTTAATGAACAAGAATCGAAAGTATAATGAGCCTTTTCTCCCTACCTACGGGTTTTCCAGCGCGCATCCAAGACATCGGAAGGGGCACATCGGTAGAGAAAGTAAATGAAGTATAGCAATATTTTTCTTCGAGCGTACCCGAACTTTAAAGCAAAACCGTCTTTTGCCGACACCCCTGGCGTCCTCAATTATACAGCGAGCGGGTTGGGACGTTTTTTTTTCTAATGTTTGCCGGTTGCCAGTTGTTTTCCGGCTGTTTTTGTTGTAACAAGTCATAAAATTAGTTAATTGCTGCCTTTATGGATTAAATTTTTAATACGATAATAGTAACCAGACAACATTTTTAATTCTGTTTTTTCTGAGATTTTTTTATGTTATGTGGATAAGTGCTAAACCTTGTAAAGGACCAGGAATCAAAACGAATTTTCCGTGCTGTATTTCCAATTTTGGTTTTGCTTATGCCTACCGGTCACGCTACTCTCCTTTATTTTGCAACAAACTCGCCAGTCAATTATTATTGCTTTTATAACTTATGATGAAGGAGCAGAACTAAAACTGAACAAAATTAAGGAAAGCATGTATTTTTTCTGCAGATTTTTTTAACAGAGGTTAATAGAACTTTAGATGCGTGAATCCAGGTATCACAATTGGGCACTGATCGGATAAAGACGCCCGTAGTCCAAGCTTCTTACCACAAAGTATTTTCAATATTAGGTAAAAATTCGTAATCGGGCACTGATCAGGCAAAAGTTGCTGTAGTCCAAACCTTTTATCACAAAAACCTTTTGCCACAAAGTACTTAGTACTAGATAAAAGTGCGTGACGCACTCGTTTTCACAGGTTTAGACCTTGAATTCGTGTCCTGTAGTCACGACTGCACTTCAGACTTTTTGAACAAAGCCGATTATAAAATTAATCAAATATCCAAGGTGACGTTTCAAGAGGAGGCGGTTCCAGAAGGAAATCAACGACAGCGCCCAGGCAGTTAATAAACTTTTCATATAAGTTTTTGAACTAGTTCTAGTTCAAATCTGCAGCTGAACAAATACGCAGTTGCGGCTTTTCCTGATTAAATGTTTTAAAATTTAATAGCTGTCTGGTGTAAATTATTTTTATTTAATCATACTTACACGCTATCACAAAAAAGTAGACTACAATTAATCAGCATTTTTTATTTAGGTCCACACTTCTTACCTTGTTCTATCAAGCAAACCTAATTCTGAATTCTCATTTAAGTTCATCAGAGGAAATTTCAGACCAAGGTTCCTCCGCAGAAAATGTTTCCGAGAAGAGTTCGGAGATAGACCTAACCTTAAGTGTTTGTTTCTTTATCCAGACCTCAGGCTTAATAACTCCGAGAGAGACAACCCTGTACAATCTTGTCCCAAAAGTGACACTCCAAAAAGTGGAGGTTGGCAAATCCACATTGCAATTATAGCCCTAACCTTCTACCACCTATTTGTAGGTGTTTATACTCTTTGACCTGCATTACATTCACCTACCTTCATCATTTTGAAACTGTAGGCAAGACCTTTATCATAAAGATAGCAATTTCCTACATGATGTCTGGTTTTCAGGTTAATCGCATCAAGTCAATGAATTTACTATAAAAATGCATTGCAAAACTACGCTTGTCTATCTGCAGAAGCGACCAAAAATTATAGATTTCAATAAATATATTTATTATCTTTTAAACTGCAAATTGTCTGACAAAATTTTCACAAAATTGCAGTAGCTTAAAGAGCTACACTTCAATGGGATACGAATTTAAATTAGTACTCTTGGCGCTGGACAAGTTTGTATAAAATGCTGGAATATAAACTATGATACACTCGCAGTAGCATTATGTAAGATAGACAGACTTCGTATTACGCAGAATCTATCTATTCACAAATGTGGTCTTGTGATCCTGTACAACAAACCAAACAAACAAATAAGGGCTTTATCTCTTCAACGTCGCCAAAACTTTTTTGAGCACTAGTCATGGCAATTAAAACTAACTCTGGAAGCCTGACTGATGCAAGACCTCTTGACAAGTTTTTAACGACCTGTTAAAGATTTTCAAAGAGACTTTATCCCGGGGTTGCGCTGAAGGACGACTTCACATCACCCTCCGTTACCCATACAAGATCCAACGGCGATATACCACGCCAAACAAACCTAAGGCCAAGTTCTCAAGGAGTTTAGACAAACCCCAGCCATCTCCAATAAGTAAGTGGCTTGTTGGAAAGGGGTGAGGGGTAGACGGGAACAATATTAAAGAACTTCTCCACCTGAAAGATAGTCTAAGTCAAAAGGACCTTCTATTTACGGTCACCATCGCTTTCTTACTCCAATGTTTAACACATCTAAGACAAAATGGAGCCATATGATGATCAAAATTGAAACAACGGTAATATTTTCAGACTTTATTCTCCGATTTTTCTAAATGAAAACCTCAGAGGGTGGTTAATGCAACACCCTTCCAGACGCAAACGATACCACAATAATGCTCTGAAATCATTCACAACATTTAACGTTCACAGTTCTTCGGGTTTGAATATTACACTTTTCTCCAAAAGATAACACGATTCCTAATTCCCATTCAAATGCGTTAGAGGCGTTTACCAGGTTTTTCCCTTACTTACAAAAGGTAAAGTTTCCTTCTGGACAGACTACCGTAATCTTGGTTATACATAGAGTACACAAGAATAGTAAACCCTTTCTTTCTTTCGAAAGAAATCTTTTAGACAAGACTTGTACCAATAGAACTCATTTCCAGTCGTTTTGCGTCAGCCTAGAGGAAGTCATACTCCACTTAAAATTAATAACTCGCAATTATCTGTCCTACTTTTCTATTTTATAACAATCATAGCATAACAGAATTATTAGAAGAAAGTTGTAGGCATTTTTAATGCACAGGTTTCTAAGTCAAAGTACAATAGACCTCGTATACCTCGTGAAACATTACGTGCATGTCTTGCCGCAGTTTTACCGCTTATTTAATGAAGCAATTTCAATAAAAACGGAGGAAAACCCAGTTTTTAATATCAATTTTGTAAACATTATTAAAAGCACCTTTGCTAACGAAACTATACTTTAACCAAAGCACTTTAAACCTCTACTAACCCATTTTATAAAATCCTTGAAATTTTTGGATACGTAAGGGTTAGCTAGTTTTAAAATACTGAAATATTTTGCTACACTTGTGTACGTAGTTAGCGAAGTGTGATTGTTACCTCGCATCAATCACAGCATGTTGCCTGTTTGATGTAGTTTTGGTGTACGGGCTACAATTTTGTGCTGCGCTCCATTCTTCAGCTTTATTCTGAATTTTAACCCGTTACAACTCAACTAATCGATGAATGTCTTATTTATCAATGAAATTAAAGTTTCTAAATGAAACATTTAAAACAATTAAAAAAATACAGTAGTAAATCAAATATAAAACACAAAATTGCTGTTGCTAGCACTGAATACATTCTTTGATTATTATTACTTATTCTGGGCAAACAACAGAAAATAACCGTGATATTGTACACAACGTCAATCTCTAAACAACATGCTTCTGAAATAAGTGGCGAACTTGCGGGAGGTAACAGAACACTGAAAAACATGAAAATTAAGTAAATATTTGCAAGTCGGAAAATTCGTCGTTTTCGAGAAAAAAGTATTTGAATGCACAGGCAAGGACCAATCCGACCTGGTAAATCACGCAGGCACAAACAACAATGCATCGCCACATCTTGTAATTAGCAACATCACTGTTGTATTTCTTTTCGATGTTTATGTTAAAGCTAACTTGCAGCAGCTATTTGTTCCTTTAACGTTGCATCGATATAATCAGCAACGACTTCCTGATCATAGAGGTGTCTAAAAATGTGATACGGAGATTACGAAAAACCGGCAATGTACGGCCTACATTTGACAACCATGGGCATCGACGCCCAATCCATATAGCTGCGTAGAAGACAAAATCCTTAATTTCATAGAAGGCAACCCTCAAACTAATCCGGATCTTGACTTCTTCGATGAGATTCTATGAATCAGCGCGTGTATCAAACGCCAGTGCACAACACTCATGACCTGCATGACCGTGTGATGGTCACTGCAAAGGAAATACACCAACTGTCGAAAGTTTTTGCGCGACACAGAAATAATTTTTGGTACACGTCTTGAATCATGTCTTCACTTACTTATGCTTACGTCAACCTCATTATCATAAGGTCGTCAGTCCTAAGAGTGGTTAGACAGGCACCTCCACACTTTCGTATCCTGAACCAATCTTATAAAATGCTTACGTGGCTTACATTTTTTTATATTTTCTAAATGGTTTTCTCCTTTCTTTTGTACATGTTAAAATATAATTTAAGCGCTTTTATCAAGGACGAACAAATAAAAATACTTATTAATTTTTATTGTAATGGGTCTCAATTGTTGCTGATGTTTACTTTAACTGCGCAACAACCGGCAGTTTACATTCTCCATCGATGTAGCGACTGAATTCATTGCATAGGTATAAACCTACATTGTCAATTGAAGCTTAAAATCGGATTCGGATCCTTACAATTTTTTGTCCCTTAATCGTGCTGCTGTACTCGTCATGCAATTCCCTATAGCTTCTAGTTGATACATGACAAAGCTTGGTTCTTTTTTCATAAACACGCTGTATTTGTTCGTTTTTACCATGTATGCATTTTTATACACTTTATTTTTGATGAATTTTACTCAATGGAAATAATGGAAAGGGTAGCAATATAATAAAAATTAACTTAAGTAACATTTATACACAAATTTATGCAGCATACTTTTTTTTTTCTTCAGTATTAGTTCTGGATATCTATTTATCTACACAAATATAAGATTCTAGTTCATTAAAGGCTATTTGAGTTGAATCTAGGTTCACCTTTGCACTATCGGAAGGCACATATGACAAACTATTAGTTTGCGGATACGTCGTAAGCGCAACAGGCAGTCCGTTCAGTGGGTCGGCAAATTCTCATCATTGGACACTTTTTACAGATGCAACGTATTTAATAATATACTTTGAATTTTAAAAAAAAGTATAGAATATGAAGTTATATACAGCTATACCAATTCGATTACTAAGTTATTTTGAGATAGCAGGTAAGTAACAAATTGACGTTTTGAAATCTTATACTTAAAATCTGGTAAGTTCTGAAGCATCTATTACCTAAATTGCATCAAATAAGAGTTGTTTTGTAAAAGAAAATATTCTCAGACCAAGTAGTTAAGTTTTGGTAAATACGATATATCCAAACAAGGGGCAATAATTAACCGTCGATAACAAGCACGTTTAAGTGATAATGGACACCTAACAATTGCTAGGTAAATTTCACTTGCCAACTTATCAGTGAAGAAAACCTCATTTAAAGCCGTTATAAAGTTATAAATGGGTCATTTTATGTTTAAAAAATAAAATATATTCATTTTATGCACCAAAAACTAAACAAGTTTTGATTTTATGCAAAATATGTAATTTCTAATGTGGGTAATCGTATTACAGCCCATTTCAAGTATCCTTCGTTTAGTTTCTCTAGCAATGTGACCTTTAGTTTGACCGGCGCAAAGTAGAAAAAAAACAGCACTAGGTCAGAAAAGAAAGGAGACAACTCTCGGCCAAACTCTTAACCGATGAGGAGAGTATAATCCGTACAGTACTGCATGGAAAAATTGACTATTTTATCCACTACAATTGCATTGCTCAAATGTGCTGTTATTGGTACCATTTCCTACTGAAAATATCAACGAGATGTTTGTTTATATTTGAAGACATCTTAAAGGCTTTAACGCTTGTTTTCGGCTCGCACTACTATTCATGATTGAACAAAACTTTTGGCAGGTACTGTATGAAAAAGTATGTTTAATGAACAAAAGTCGAGAGTACAATGAGCTTTTTTCTCCCTACCTACGATTTTGCCAGCGCGTATCCAAGACATTGGAAGGGGCACATCGCTAGAGAAAGTAAATGAGGTATAGTTAGAATTGTGACCTTGAAGAAATCTGCGCGAAGATAGAAAGAATACACACTAGGCGTGAGCAAGACAGAAATACCTGGAACAAGCTTGAATGAGCAGAACTCTCGACTCATCGTCGACTCCTACTTCAATAACCAAGTCTTCAATTACCCTATCGATAACTGGATCTTCTAATGTGTATGCATCTTCTTGCTTAATAACTTTTTGAACACTCTTTCCCATTTTTCGATAGAGAAAAATTCTTCACAAAGTTTTTTTACGTCACCCAAGTTAAAAGACACATTGCGTTCTGTAACAAAATGTTTTAGAGCTGCCCAAACATATTCAATGGGGTTTAATTCTGGATGATATGACGGTAATCGTAAAACATCATGACCAGCTTTTTGTATTATTTCGTCGATGTCGTAGATTTTAAACTTCAGCAATTTGATACAATTCTACTTTAGGCATACTTTCTTCGACATCTAAATGTCTTTTTCGTAGCCAATTCTGCATCTTTGTGTTTAACGAGTTCGAATTAGGGCACTTTCTTTTCGAACGTTGCGGTACGAGGCATTGTCAATAACTACAATTGACTGACAAATTAGGGAGCAGTTTTTCTTGGACCCACTTTCGGTAGTTGTTGTAGTTCATGTTAACATGATAATCGACTGTTTTTAAACCTGACTTGTAAATCAGACAGGCGTTTTCTATAAAAGCCATCTTGCCACCAGCAGGAATAATAATTAATCGACTCCCTTTTGCTAGTGGTTGCAAAAGGCCTTCTGAAGTATCATCGGCTCATAACTTTTTGGAAGCACAATTTGAATATATATATAT